CATCCACTCTTCTCTCGCAAGTAACTTCCCATTTTGGCAGGCTCGACGTCGTGGTGAACAACGCCGGGTACGCGGTCAGCGGCGTTGTCGAGGGCATAGTGACGAGGAAGCCCGCAAGCAGATCGAGGTCAACTTCTGGGCCCCTGTCAAGATCAGCCGCGAAGCCGTGCGCTGGTTCCGAGAGAACAACCCGCCTCGGCAGGGAGGGCGAGTTCTGAACATCTCGTCGTGCGGCGGGTTCATCTCCAACCCAACGCTCGCGTACTACTCTGCGAGCAAGTTTGGTACGTCCGTGTATCTTGCTCTCCGTCGCCTTGGATGTCTTACCAGCGCTCGCGACAGCACTCGAAGGCTTCTCTGAAGGCTTGAACAAGGAAATGGATCCTTCCTGGAACATCAAGGTCGTCGCCATTCAGCCAGGCGGCGTGCGCACGCGTTGGGCGAACGGCAACATGCTCGACCTGCCCTTCCCGCCCGCCTACGCGAACCCTGCGGCCCTACCGACGCGCTTTCGCGAGATGACCAAGACCAAAGTACCCATGAACGACCCGAACAAAGGTGCGCGCGTCGCTTTCGCCGCTGACTATCTGCAACAGCTACTTACTTAGCGCATTTTTGTCAGTCGGGAAGGCCCTCATTGCGATCTCGAAGGAGGCGAACCCGCCGCTGCGCCTCCCGCTCGGTGCGGACTCACGCTACGTGATACAGGGCAAGATTGCTGCGATCCAGAAGGAGTTGGAGGAGTGGAAGGAACTCGAGGTGTCTGTCGTCGCGGACGACGCGGACCCGCATTTCTTCGAAAAGCTCAGCGGCATAGTGATGTAGAATACTGTGACTTAGGATGCTCCGTGGACCTCAAGTCGCGCCACCACAGCGCGGAGGAACTGTATAGTACGCGACGCGTCGTGTGACGACACGCGTCGAGGGAGCCATTTGGGCGTCTTGTCGCCCAGCTCTTACCTTTGCTGCACGATAATAGTCCGCCTTCCTTTCCCCCCAACCTGCCTGCTTTCCTTTTGAAGATGTTGAATGAAATTGGGGCTCAACATCACAATGAAGACTCTACGTTGCGTCAAAGGATGTCCAGGTCGCATCGCTGTAAATTGGAATGAAGCCAACTGGAGAGGATGGAAGTGAATGAAGTGAAGATATTCCGCCCGTACTGACTAGGCTATGAGCTCAGAGTGCGTCGGTTAGGAGGCTGTATGTAGGAGGATTGGGACGATGTCATGCAGACTCGGAATTGGAGGGATCCCATGTGACCGTGTCTAGTACGTAAGCGCTATTTACCTACTCGCACATTCCTACCACTGCCGTCATGCCTCTGTCTTCCCTTCTTCTCTCCGGCCGTGAGCCGTGCGTGAACGGCACGCAAAACAGGGCACTACTGCGGTCTGTGAGAGAGCTGTTCCATGTCATCGACGTCCACACGGGGTAACCCAGCTCATACTCTGATACCAGGCCTCGACATGCAACCCCGGACCGCCCTTCGAACGATCGCGGAGAAAACCTTACGAGCAACTCCTGCTCTGCGACGCACGGCTGTGCTGGGATCGCGCTGGAACAGCTCCCGGACCAGCACTGCAGCTTCAAGCGACGCTCCCCGCGGCTCCCAGTCCAAAGGCTCTAATGCGGCACTCGCCTTCACCGTTGGCTCTCTGTTCAGTGGTGCGATGGGTTACTACGTCGCATCTCACTCGGGCGCCGGGCGGGGAACCCGAACGCAACAGGGCGAGTGCGGAACTAAACACCCAGTATGGCTCGCCGCAGGACTTCAAGAAGGCCATCGAGGAGTTGCGAACATTGTTCCCAGATGAGGATGCCGTCACCACGGATGTTGAGGATCTGGAGGCACACGGGTACTCGGAGAACGACTATCATCCGTGTGAGTAGTACGCACTAAGCCTTCGGGAGGTCGTGCTGCTGCGGAGTAGGCGATCGCGGTGCTAACCCAGTATGCATAGGCTCACAGCCGACCGTGGTCGTGTACCCAACGTCCACGGATGACGTGGTAAAAATCGTCAAGACGGCCGTCAAGTACAGGATGCCTGTCATTCCGTACTCTGGTGCTACGAGCGTCGAGGGAAACTTTAGGGCGGTGCGTTGATACAGTTCCCTCCACCTTGATTCCCTCTTTTGAACGAGTGTCTGTGCAGCCGTCAGTAGGCGGCATCTGCGTGGACATGTCCAGGATGGACATCAGCAAAATGCGCATATACCTTAGAGCGACTTGATGCCTTACACAAGGTTGTAAGGCAATCAAAGACGTTCCAGTCGGAGTCACTCATTGAATCGTCTTGTGAATGTAAAACCTTGATGAACCTTGAAACATCTTTACGACTTAAGGCTTACTTACCTTGTGGACATTGCTACTGCTTGACACTATGGGACTGAATCAGTGTGACGACCTTGGAGGGGCTTGGTGGTCTTGAGATGGAGCCTCACTCCAGACTACAAGGCGCACAAGTCAATGAAGCCCTTCGGTCGCCCATGAGATGCAGATTGTCTCCAGACCACAAGGTGCAAGCCAACCAAGTTGTCCAGTTGTTAATGGATCAAGCTGCCAGGATGGGCAAGTAGCGGACTGTGTGCAAGGCTTCAATGATTGAAGACAAGAAGGCATATGATAGGGAAGATCCCAAGTCAACTTACCATCCAAGGCGGTAAGTCGCCACAGGCTGATTCAAGCAGAATCGCGCACGCAGGCATACAGTCGATAAGACAAAGTGATTATAAGATGTGCAGGGCTCAAGCTGATACAAACGGGATCGCGCCCCCAGGCGCACAGACAGCCAAGACAGTATGGACCTCAAGACATTCCTGTAGAATCAACATCAAGGCGACAATGCGCCACGACGGTCAAGGCACTGGGACTGAGCATCAAATGGGCAGCAGCAACGGTAACAAGAAACAAGAGGTCTCAGGGAGTACCTTCAGGGATGGAGAGCAACGCGCATGACAAGAAGGACGGGGGAGTACAGTAATATGAGAGTGATGTGTGACAGGAGAGGGCTGGTGAAAGGCGGGGACATACGGCACACGAGGAACATATGGTACTAGGGAGGAGTAGGGAAGGGGTCCAAGAACTTGAAGCAGCAATACAGTAGAAGCCGGCGACGAACGACAAGCAACAAATACCAAATTTGACGTGAGAGGGCAGCAGCGAGTGATATGGTCAAAACATCAGCTTGTAGGATGCGTCAAGGGCCACTGCATCCCTGGAAACGAGGCCGTGAGCAGGCATCAAGGGTGGACCATGAAGCACTCACCTCAATCCTCGTCGACGAGCAACGCGAAGTCGAAGTTGTCGTCCGCAAGCGATTGGACACTGGCGGCGCATGACGCGCCCGTTGTCGAGTCGAAGGCGCATTCGAGTATGAGATCAAGCTTCTTGGCCCCGAGGTTCCTCGCAGACTTCGCGCACTGAACCGTCCTACCACCGACGAGAGCACTGCTGAAATCAGTGTCCTTGCTCTCCTTCCCAGTCATAGGGTTGACACCCTTGATGATTGTGAGCTTCCCACTTGGATCGTCGAACACAACCTTCTCCAAGGAATACAGGAGGGCGGCACGATATGCCTAGAGAGCCTGTGAGAATGTAAAGTACGCAACAACGGAGGACGTACCCCAGCAGCCGCCAAGCCGATAGCGCCACAAGGATATTCATCTGCATCTGTCTTGTAAAGACCGGGGATATCGATCGCATCTTGTATCATCTCGAGGTGATTGGCCAGTGGAGCAATGACGAAAGGCGAACGATAGAGCCCCTGACAAATGATCAGTGGTGAATGGCCAGGACATGAGGACAGTACACATACCTTGTTGTCGTTCCCATCCGGTACCTCAAAGAACAGACGTCCTCCGGGGAGAATCTTCTTACAGAACTTGGCCCGTGCAACAGTGTCGGAAAACTCGCGTGGAAGCGCGCGGAAGAACCGCTCGTAGCCTCGCAAACCCGTGCTCCCAAAACCTCCGCGCCACTCGTACATTCGTTGTGTCGCCTTGAGCGTGTCAGTGAAGATCAACAGAGGTAGAGAGGGAAACGTACCAGGTGATGCACGGGGTCGCTCACGGAGATTGTGTAAGGAACCTGCTTGCCGAAGATGTAGTCCCAGATGACCTGAAGCGTACGGATGGTCGTGGAGTCGGGGATGGACCACGGGTCAAGCTGCGTCCCAGCCCACTTGAAGTACGTCGGGAGGAACATCGCCTTCCACTTCCCCAAGACAGTCGCGCCGCCAGGGAGGTTTGCAGTGGTGACGGCGTTGCGCTTGCTGCCCGTGGGCTCCTCAAGCTGATCAACGTTAATGGCCTGATGCTGGCTATAGACTCCTTCAAGACAGAGAGTCGGTAAGCGTACCTGTGCTTGTGAGCGACCGCTCATCACCACTTCATCGTCCGACTCATCACCCGGCGCCACCAGCTTGACCCTCTTGACCTTCTCGTCCTTCGTATGTACCCTCCCGTGCTCCGCCTTTTCACGTTCGCGCTCCTGCTCACGCTCCCGCTGACGTTGTTCACGCTTCTGCTGGTGCTGTGCGAGAGCGCGCTCTTCCACGCGCTGCCGCTCGCGGTCGAGCTCCTTCTGCCGCTCGTGGTCGAGCTCCTTCTGCCGCTCGTCACGCCGATGTTCGCGCTCGAGCTCCTTCTGTCGCTCTTCACGCCGACGTTCGCGCTCGAACTCGCTCTGCTGCTCCTCATGCCGACGTTTGCGCTCGAGATCCTTGCGCGACTTCTTGTCTTCTCTCTGCTCTTTCCCAAGCAGAACGGTGTCTTCATCCTCATGCTTGACAAGCGACTAGAAAAGACGCGTCACTCGCAGTGGAAGCTCAGAGCGAACTTGCAGTACTCACCTCGCTCGTCATACGGGCCCCTCGCTTGATGGGACTGCTTCGGGCGGCCTCGGCTTCAACCTCTTCATCTTCAGACATGGCATACGCCCCGGGCTTGGTCTTCACTGGCATGGCAGACTTATCCTTCGGGACTGGCCTTGGAAGAGGCTTGCCTGGCTTGGTGACGATCGTCTCGTGCGGCGCAACGAAGGGCGTGGCTGGTACGCCGAGAGTACGAGGAGGAAGATCCGCGGCACTGCCCTTGCCACCACGGTTCTTAGGCACCCAGGCCGCAACGAGGGAGCGTTGTCTGGAAGATGTGGTGAGTAAACAAGGGACAAGATACGGCACAACATGCTTACTCGGCAGGCGCTGGAGAAGCGGACCCACGGTCCGTGGCGCTGGTGGCAGTGGACAATGCGATCTTCGCAGCCTTGACGCCCTCACGAAGTGTAGAGGAGGCAGCCCTGATCTTCTTCCTGGCCTGCTTCGGGGTAGGCGCGATCTCGGTCAGGTCGGACATTGCATCGGAAGCCTCGAGGTCAGAACTCTCGGCGGCAGCAGCAGCAGCTCGAGGAGCAGGGGTCGGAGGCTCGTCCGACTCTGGAGCGCTGTCTGACTCCTCAACTTCCTTCGCCTTACGCTTCCGCGTAGGCTTAGGCAATTCGACGACATCCTCTAGCTCATCCTCAGACGAGCGGTGTGTCGATTGACGCCCACCTCCGCGTCCACCACGACCACGTCCACGACCACGTCCCCGACCACGGCCACGGCCCGTGCCGCGTACAGTGACCCGCTGCTCACGGTCAGCGTTGTCGATTGCGGTGAGTTCATGCTCCATCAACGCTAGCTTACGCTCCTTTGATGCCTTTGTAGATGCCTTCTCGTCTTCCTTCTGCTTCTTAGCCTTCTTCTCTTCGGCGACCTCCTGCGCCGACCTCTTGCGCCTGGGTGCATCAGGAAGACCGGGGCGCTTGCCGGAGTTTTCAGAGCGGGTTTTGGCCATGGTGAAGTGCTGGGGATGAGGAAGTAACGAGGCGACAACGACGATGCGCTGGCAGGACTGTAGGGGAACAAAT